CAACCTCTGTATGTTGAAGTGCTCTAGGAATTCAATAGTATTTAGACTCATTACCTAATGACCTCAACCAGTCTCATGGCTTTACATAGCACCTATTTATCACTGATTCCCAAAATTTATATCTCCAATTCAGACTGGAATATCCAGCTGCCTACTTGCCATCTCCACTTGAATTTTTAACAACAGACTCAAACTTAATGCAAATATATCTCATTCTGTACTACTGATAATGCCCCTCTCTCCCAAACCAGATTCTCCTGCAGTCTTCTCCTTCTCAGTTGATGGCAACTCCATTCTTCCTGTTGCTCAGGCCACAAATCTTGGTACCATCTTGACTCCTCTCTCTCATATGCCACATCTCAGCAGTCAGCAATTTCTGTTAGCTCCACCTCCAAAATACACCCAGAATTCAATTCACTTCCCCCACCCCCACCAGGATCCAAGCCACCATCATCTTTCACCTGGATTATTGCAATAACCTCTTAACTGGTGTGCTGGCTTCTGTCCTTGCCCCTCTTCCTCTGTTCTCAGGAGAGTAGCCATAATGAACCTGTTAAAACCTAAGGCAGATGCTCTCACTCCTTTGCTCAACTCTCCAATAGTTGCCCATTCCCATTCAAAGTAAAATCCAAAGACTTTACAAGCCCTACATGATCTATTCCCTTCTTACCCTACCTCATCCCTTATCGCCATGACTCCATCTAATATTGCTATCCCTCTTGCTTACCTTCTTCTAGCCATGTGACTTTGGTGTCCCTCTAACCACACAAGCCATGCTCCTACCACAGAGCCTTTGCATTTGCTATTCTTTATCTGGAATGCTCTTACCAAGATATCAAATCGCTCACTTTCTAATTTCCTTTGGGTCTTTACTAAAAATTTGCCTTTATTTTCCTCCTCCCCTTTCCTTCATTTCCTGGCAATTCAGTCTTAAAGGTATTCAGTGGGGGCAGAACAAGGTACACTGGCCCATAGTGGTGTGTCAGAGCCAAGCAGGACCAACAGGGCACCCATGCAGAGGGGTGGCCTGGCATATGGGGTGTCAGACCTGAGCAGGGTTAAGACATGCTTACATGGAGTGGTGGAGCCCATATTGAGCCCATACTCAGTCAGAAGGGCATCGAGGCAGGGGAAAGGGTGGCAGCGGAAGAAGAGATTATTTATACACAGAGGGTTTGATCAAATAAGTAAATACATTGAGGATAAAGACAGCTAATTTCCCACTAATACAGTATAGAGGTACAAAGATGGAAAGGGATAAAACTAGAATGAAAACTGAAGTGTTGGATTGAAATTGAAGTGAACTCATGGTTTTCAATACAGTTATAGTATAAATATAGTATAAATAATAAACATAGTATAAATAAATATATGTATATATTGTTTATATATATGTATATGTATACATACAAAAATATTCTCGGTCCACTGAAAGTACCTGGAAGGAGCAAAATGCCAATAGCAATGAGCATACCTAGCGCACAGAGTGTGGCTTCAAGATAGCATTCTCAAGGGCTCCTTGGAGAAATGCCTGATTCCAGGGTTGGGGCAGGAAAGTACAAGATAAGCCTGGAACATCTTGGTATGCCAGAAAGCAAGGACATGTTCAAAGAATGATCGGGACATGATGAAAAGACACAGAAGCTTAGCTTGAAATGTTCCAACGGGAAAATGTGAAAATAGTTTTACCACCAAAATAATGATACTAGCTCACTGATTAAAACAGGAAACTATGAGCTCATATAGACATAGACAAATAAACTGAAAATTTGATGAGAAATGTCATCAAGTATCTCCCCACAAAACACTTAATTACAAAGAGAAGACGACTAACTTTAAAGTGGCGAAGTTTGGAAGACACCATTTAAATCAAGTGATCAAAGTAAACAGTATCAGTAATGGGCCAAATAGAAATTATGTGCCATCTGATAAGATACAACAAGAATACAGCATTGCTTCTGTGATATTCCTGCCAAAAATGTATAACCTTAAGTCTAATCATAAGGAAACAGCAGACAACCTAAATTAAGGGCTATTCTACAAAATAAGTGGCCTGAAATTTTCAACAGTGTCAAAGTCATAAAAGTTGAAGAAACACTGAGAAACTGTTTCAAACTGAAGGAGACTAAAGAGACAAGATAACTAAATGTAACAAGTCATAACGGAGAACTGGATCTTTTTGCTATGAAGGGCATTATTGAGACAACTGACAAAATTTGATGGGGGGGTAGGGATGAGGATAAGACAGTAATAATGTATCAGGGTTAATATCCTTATTTTGATGGTTACATTTTGGTTAAGTAAAAAAACGTCTTGGGCTTCCCTGGTGACACAGTGGTTGAGAGTCCGCCTGCCGATGCAGGGGACACGGGTTCGTGCCCCGGTCCGGGAAGATCCCATATGCTGCAGAGTGGCTGGGCCCGTGAGCCATGGCCACTGAGCCTACGCGTCCGGAAGCTGTGCTCTGCAATGGGAGAGGCCATAACAGGGAGAGGCCCGCGTACCGCAAAAAAAAAACAAAACAAAAACAGTCTTTGTTTATAGGAAAGACACCCTGAAATATTTGGGGAAGGTGGAACGTTATATAGGTACGTCACTGACTTTCAAATGGTTCAGGAAAAAAAAGGTTTTGCTACTATGCTTGCAAGTTTTCTGTAGGTTTGTGATTTAAATTTAAAACATTTTTTAGAATTTTGTCACTTATTCAAATGAAACCTTTACTAGCCACTCTAAAATGCTCACCCCAATGACACTTCACGTTCTCCTTCCTGCTTTAGTTTTCCCCTTTAGCACACATATTTCATTTATTTATCTAGTTGACTGTTTCACCCAGGAGGATCTATGAGGGCAGGAATTTTTGTCTGTTTTATTCACTGCTGTGTCATGAGTGCTTAGAACATTGCTGGAACACAGCAAGTGCTCAATAAATAATGAAAAAATAAATGGATAAGCCTGTTAAATAAATGTTTGAAGAAAGATATAACCATTACAAGGATGGGTGAAATAAAACTGTTACTCTCATCATCAATGATAGTTTGCTAAAAATCCTTTTGGAATTGAAAGTCATAAAAATATTAATATCCTTTAACCTATAAATTCCACTTCTGGGAATTTATTCTAAGGAACTATCCTAAAATATGGGGAAGTAATCACAATGTCAAGGTGTTCACTAGAGTGAAAAACAATAATAAAGGAGAGAGAGAGAGAAATATTCAAAAAGCATTGGATAAAGTATGCCATACCCACAGATTAAAATTCTATTTCAAATCCCGCCATCCTCTGAGCCACCTCTCGCAGTCAGCGCGTCCCAGCGCATTCCCTCCGTGCCCCTCCATCTGTACCCACATTTACACCTCCACACACACCCGAAGCCACAAAGTATACTCTGCGCGCTCCAACTGCACCCTGTTTTTACCTTCCTGGGAAACCCCACACTCCACCCACCTGGACCAGGCCCTGGCCCTCGCCCCAGCCTGCAGCCGTCCCCTATGCTGTTGAAAAGAGAACATTTCCGGATGGAGGGGCTTGGGTAAATGGGCCAGTTTCCCCATCGCAGGGTGCTGGCAGTTGGGCTGGGTCCGAGAGACCGGTGCCCTGAGTCTGTTCTTCAGGGGAGAGGCTCCAGGTACAGGCAGCGATGGTCTCCTGAGACGAATTCTAGACACCTCACTACTGCTGGGAGGAACAACCGGCCCCAACGATGTGCGTTCGGGTTGCTTTGGCCTTGGACCTTGGGGCCCCATGGTTCCTGGCCAGGGGCTCACGTCACTGCCCCAGAAGAGACTTGCGCCCCTTGCGTGTTCAGTTCACTCCCCCGTTCTGGCCTCCGGCTGTCCTGCCCCTGCACAGCTTCGGAGCCAGAGCCCTGTCCCGGACACCTGGCCACAGGCCCTGAGCCAAGGCGGCGCTGCACTGTGACTCTGAGTAGGAGGGAAGGCACTGAGGAGGACTGGGGTTTGCTTAATAGGTGGGATGAGCCACACTCCTCACGGAGGAGTCTGGGACAAGGGGCCTCCAACACTGGGGCACCCAGGTGTAAAAGAAAAAACAATTAATTAATATATTAATTTAAAATAAGGCTATAGGTATAAAGTTTCAATTATGCAAGATGAAAAAGTTCTACAGACCTGCTGTACAACATTGTGTTTATAGTTAACAATGTAGTTAAATTTTAGTTAAAATTTTGTTAAGAGGGTAGATCTCATGTTGGTTTTTTATCACAATAAGAAAAAGGCTATAAAATATATATAACTACATGTAAAGGATGTTTTAAAAAATCTATCATGCCAATCTGTGTATGAGTACAGATATGGAATTAATAAACACATTAAAAAATTCTATTTCATTTGAAATTCCATTTGTTTTGAAATTTCATTTCATTTGAAATTCTGAAAATGCGGGAAACTGCTTTTTTTAATGTATTTTTACATGAAGGGAAAAAACAAACAGAATATAGATTTACAGTCTATTAGTCCAACTAAATAAAAATATGCACTTTAATAAGCAATTATTGTATTGGGGCAAATTTTGTTCTTCTCTATTTTCCAAATTGTTGGTAATATGGTTGTAATTTACATTCTTAAAATACATCTATAATAAATTTATATTTACTTTTAGAAAACACATCATGGATGAAATTAGCTAGATATAGAAAGTATTAACCCCATGAAAGAATAACTGTCTGGCTGAAGAGATTAGGAACATACAAACCAAATATTGACTAGTCTGCATTCAAATATGACTAAATATAAAAGAGGTAAAAAAAATTTAAACCTGTTTGAATAAAATGTTAATAGAAAAAAGTGATTTACATAAACTCAAAAGAAGAATTTGGCAGTATCAGTGTATTACTGCTGATGCAAGACATGTTAAATGCAACAAACTCTAAAACCACCAAAAAGATACACTCTACTGGGTCAGGGTAGGTTCATCATGCTTGTCAGGCCAGTAAAGTATCCTTCAAGACTATCCAGCACCCCCCGTTCTGATTCCATGCTCACCAGAGAGTCTTCTGATTATTATCTTGGCCTCCCGGTTAACTTCTTCTAGGAAAGGCATATCCTAGACCTTCACATAGCCACATGAGTACTTGAAATAGGGCTAATCTGAATTGACATGTGCTGTAGGTATAAAATCCACCCCTGATTTTGAAGACTCTGTATGAAAAAACAAATAAATAAACTACCTCAGTAATAATTTTCTTGATTACCTGTTGAAATTATAACATTTTGGATAAGTTGGGTTAAATAAAATATGCTGTTAAAATTAATTTTACCTGTTTCTTTTTATTTTTTTAATATGGCTAAAAAGAAAATTTTAAATTACTTTTGGGGCTCACATTTGTGGATATTATTATATTCCTATTGAACAAGAACACTGAACAAGAATACTGCAGTTGGGACTTCCCTGGCAGTCCAGTGGTTAAGACTTCACCTTCCAATGCAGGGGGTGTGGATTCAATCCCTGGTTGGGGAGCTAAATCCCACATGCCTTGCGGCCAAAAAAACAAAACATAAAACAGAAGCAATACGGTAACAAATTCAATAAAGACTTTAAAAATGGTCCACATCAAAAAAATCTAAAAAAAAATAAAAGAACACCACAGTCAATGTAATTATACCATCTCCCTATAAAGCAATAAATTGACCCTCTGGTTTAGACATTAGCCTCTTGTGAGTTTTCATGGCACAAGCCTGTCCCTCACAGGCTGATCAACTTTGCGTTGACAAAAATTAAGCCATGCTAAATGGAAGATGAGACCTTCACTGAAGTGAGCAAGTCAAGGTTCTGGCATCCTCTGAGCTTCCTGGGCACAAGCTGTCAGCTCAGTCATTTCTCTACCTTCCATCATTTTCTCTCTCAGTTCATAATCTTGTGTTTAGACTGTGTTTTTCAAAGGATAGGGTTGTGTATTATTTATCTTTGTTTTCCTAGCACTTAGGTGCTTTAAACAAAGATATTAAAAAGTTTGTTAAATGAACATTTTTCTACATCCTTTGCCTTTGATCATAGCTACAGGCCTCCTTGCCTTGAAATACTGTGCATAACCTCCTCACTTCTTCATCCGTTAACTGCCACTTATAAAGATTGAACACATAAAAACCTGAAAGTGAACTTATACAGTCACGTGAGCTAAAAACAATAATATCTAATGTGGAGTGAAAGCTTCATAAGCACCACAGCACACTATATTATCAAGGACAGAGCCTTAGAGACAGACTACAGAATTGATATTTCATCATTATGCAATGACCTACATTATATGACCTCTTATTTGTCCCTGAACTCCAACAGCAACCTGAGGCTAATATAAAACAGTGGTGGAAGGGAAAACAGATGACACAAAAAGAAAAGGAGGTTTATTATGGGATCAGTGTAATGATTTGGCTTCATAACATAGACCAGATGGCAATAGCCCCTTTCTCAGCAGGTGGCTTCTCAATGTCCTATGGGTTGTAAAAAACAAATTCACTATCAACCTCCTCTGCTAATAATTATTTCTGAGTACTGTGGCAGTATCAAAACCATGGTGAAAACACACACAATCCCTCAACACAAGGAGAACTAAATAAATAAACTTCTAAATATTTACTTCTGACAAAAGGAAAATCCTCTTCTGAGAAATGCTGTTACCTAACAGATCTTGGCTTCTAAAAAGCCAGGTATGTTCTCATCTTTTATTTTAAATGAAGAAGATGGCCTGTGTTTTACCCAATTTTTTGGCTGTTTTGCAAAAGCCACTGAAAATGCCTGAGAAAGGATTGGCATCAGTTTTACTGAGGTTTAATATTTATAGTTGCTAATTCTGTAAAATCATGAACGCTTTTTCTTTTTTTTTTCTTCACCACGCGGCTTGTGGGCTCCTAATTCCCCCACCTGGGATGGAACCCGTGCCCTCTGCAATGAAAGGGTGGTGTCCCAACCTGTGGACTGCCAGGGAATTCCCCATCCTTTAATATTTTTATAAAAATTGTGTATACAAGAATTCGTTTGCCTTCATTTTCCATACCTCCAAAGAAACCTTTCTGGTGTACAAGACAAACTGAATCAAATAGTCTCTGAAAGGTGACTTACCGATTCCAATAAAAAGTATAATTTGATGACAATTTCTCTTCAATAGTTTGAGACACTTCTAACAAACTACAATTCAGTTGCCTTAACTAAAAGCCTGCAAACTGACCTTTACAAAATTTTCCCAGTAGAAGCGTTCTTTCATTCTAGGAGAGAGAAAAGATCGTACATATGTTACAGCTCTTTATCATTTTACATATGGGCTGAGCGTCATCTTTTAGTGACTTCCCTCCAGATAGTTGGTTGCTCTAATATTTTCCAGAATTGATTCGTCCTTAGGTACCGACTTGACTGAACTATTAAGGCTCACATCAATCCAGAAATTCTGGCTTTAAGATAGGGAAAATGGGAATAGGAACCGCAGAGCTGGCTAACTCCTAGGGACAAGAAGCAAAGTTCACCACCAAACGAAGGTCACTCAAGTGCAAACTTGAAGCAGAAAGGCACAAGGAGAGGGAGAAACAAAGTGGCCTCAGCTCGAATCGCATTTCGAGATCTAGAAAACAGACATAACACATCTCAGTTTATGGTCGTTAAATCGGATGATATTCGTGAATGTGGGACTAAGAATCATGCAATATTTGAAAAGTAGAAAGGAAACAGAAGCTCTGTAAACCGTTAAGCGAGGGCTGTAAAACGTGAGTAAAGAAAAGGAAGGTCGTAAGGACCCCACCTTCCGGGAGAGTTCCAGTCCGCGTTAGCTGGCGGACTCAGCAAGAGGAGGAAGAAGAGGAGGGAACACTTCAGCGGGACCCTTGGCGCCCAGGCTCCTGGCGCGACTTGGAGCAACTCGCTGACGCATGCGCAACTCCCTGACCTAAAGACGAGGGGGCGCCCCGGCCCTCGTTTATCTAGAGGCGGGGGAGGGCGGGGCGAAAACACGTGACCGGGTTGCGGCATTTCTGGCCCAATCCGAGGCGTCTCGGAAAGCGCCCTTGCAGAGCAATTCGGGTGGCCCCCGTTCGTCCGTAATTTCCTGGCTATTTGACTCCGCTCTTGAATCTAAGAATTTAGTTTGTCAGAACTTTCTTCCGTGTGTTCCGTGAATGAAATTAGTGGCACACTCTAAAGTGACTGGCGCTTTTTATTTATTTTTCTCTATAACTAGAGTGTATTTCTGTAATTTCAAGTCCTGTTGCTCTCTCCCCAGCACGCTCAGGTCCTCTTCCTACTGCGTGAGACTCCAGAATCGCTGGAGGGCGCCTTTATGTAAAATCAATCCCCTAGGAAGAGAAAAACTGCTTTATATCTCAGTGGTAGAGGATTAGGGAAATTAAGGTAAAAATTTGAAGAGGCAAGTGTCCCACAGGACTACCACAGATAGCCTCAAAGACATACCCTAAAAGACTACTTTATTTCAATATAAGCATTTAAGTAAAATCTCCCGCTCTGTTTATTCCAGGCTGCTATCAAGAATCTGAAGCAATGATACTGGGATAAGATTACCTGCAAGATGTGGTTGGTTCGCCCCAGAGGAGTGTTACGAGAAACAGGTTTTAGAGAAACTCAGTCTTAAAGCTGGAGTCCTTGAAGTGAGAAGGGCATGGAGTAAAAGCAAGATGGATGGGGCTGATTTCTAGGGTTCTGATCCATCATGAACTGACTTTTACAGCCCAGGAACCTTGGCATTGGGAAATCAAGCAGTACTGCAAAAGGATAAGATGCCAAATATGTCGAAACAATAAAAAAAGGAAATTTCCCTCCACATATCGCAATATGGATAGCTTGGTAAAAATAAGACCCCTCACCTGGAATCCTGTTCAGGAAGAGTTCACTCATTTCCTACAAATAATAAATCCTCAACACTGCAGAAATGAGTCTGTTCATAACTCAGAATATTCTCAGAAAACGGGGACGGGGTGCACAGCTAAAAGCTCTGAACCTGCACTGGCTTTTCTGCTAGAGTTGCAGCGTGATGGTAATTGCTGCTTCCCTTGCAGACACTAGCTTCCTCTGTTGCTGCTGTCATTGGTTCTTAAGAAATATAGTTGCTCCAACTTCAGTTCCTTCCATGATACTTATAGATTCTTCTACCAACCCTAGTATTCCTCAGACACAGCTGTCTATATAAATGACATTGAGCTCCATTGAGTACACTGCTACTGGCTTCTTGGTGCCAAGAGAAGATGACTGTGGGAGAAAATGCCTTCCAGTGGAGAAACCCAATAGCCTCTGTGAGTTAATTCTGGAGCTGTGGAGTGAGTCTAACCAGGAAAAGTTACAACTAAAGTGGAGGGCACAGGTCATGGCCTTCATCTGCAAGATGAAGTATTTAATAGGAGAATCAGAGAAAATAGGGAACTGTTTACAAAGTCACTTCTTGAACAGCTAGAATGAGTTGTTTTCACCAGTGTTGTGTGCCTATTTGGTGGCGTCAGTATTGACAAGTAATGTGGATGTGTCCATTTTATAAGTAACCAGGTACAAATGATGCCTCAACAAAAATCTAAATTATTTGTAAATATTCATAACATTGAAAGTCATACTTGCTTCTGATTCCTACTCAAGCAGAACTGCTGTCATGGGATAACCCTGCTTCAGGGTCTTACCACCCAAAAAAGTGGCTAGATTTGTATAAAAGTATTTTACCAATATATAAAGCCTTTTTAAAGATTCTCCTGGAAATCATTTTGTAATTTCCATTTTGTGGTAGAATCTGTTCTCCTTCAAGTTAGGGCTCTTCACTAGACTAGTAGTAACACAAGTAGCTGCCTCAGGCCAAATTACCCAAGCCTGGTTCTCAAATCTTAGGCTGATTAGTACATGAAGAAGGAATACAGTAGTAGAATGCTATTATTAAGCAACAGCTGCAGAATATCATTGCATCCAGTACTAGGAACAACAGAGGGGAAATTTTCAGCAACAGGGAGAATAAATGTCACGTGTTCCAAAGCCTCTCTTTAAAATATAGAACAAGGAATAAACAATACTTAAAAGTATTTTTGAATCACAATCTGTCACAGAATTGCTTCTTTGCCTAACACCTCCACCAAAAACTTTTAGTGTATTTCTACCATCTTCTTTAACCAAGAGGGGAAAGGCTTTGAATATTTTAAGCCATAAAACCAAAAAATACCATACTAATTTCAATAAATAATTCCTGCAGTTGAAATATACTTCAATATTTTCCATCTGTCAGGAAGCAGAATTCCATAATTAAAATACCTTTTCGATATTAAACTGTAAAGCAATCATGAAAACATTACTTAACATTACACTTATGCCTTGACTTTATAAAATAGATTCGAGTTGTCTACAAATGAAACATTTTAAAAATCACTTATCACAGGAAAGCCAAAATGAGAGCAGAAAAAAATGTTTGAATCAGGTTGGATTTACTCAAGGTTAACATGCAAGAATTATTTATACTTACATTACCTAAGGACTCTGAAGGTAAACATTATACAGTATTAATGGAGACTTTGCACTCATTTTAGAAAACTATTTGGTGTACAAGAGGTTTATAATCACTTTAGTTAACTATAGATATAGTTACTTCAACTGTAGGTAATAAGTTATTACTTCAAATCAAAATACAAGAAGTACTGGCTCAATCTGCAACTCAAAAAGGAAAATCAATTTTTTCTGCTCTTTGGAAAAAAAGTTAGTAAGCTGATGAGTTAAACTATTACATTGTAGTACCTCATATCACATCCAAGCGTTTGAATGTTAACTTTCAAGCTGATTCTGTTTCTAAAAAGACCTTCAAAGCCCCCAATGGTGGTGTTCAAAAAATGAATGTCATACAGTGAAACTAATCATTAACAACAAATCTTCAATTTATTTGAAGCAATTCGGTTTCAAAAACTTTAAGTTACAGCAGTCACAGAAAAAAAAACACGGAACAGTCAGAAATAATAAAAGAATAATGAGGAGTACTGCATTTTTTTGTTTTTAACACTGTCATGGCTTTATTCAAAACACAGTTGCACAAAAGTATTAACTTCAAAGTTTTTAAGGAGGGTTTCGAGGAATTCAACACACTATATACATACTGCCATACAAAGAGCATTAAAATAGGACCAAAAACTTCTACAAAATATAAAACCCACCCTTACTTATTTGCATGAAAATACCACCCACAAAGCTAAGTAAGTCTTAAAAAGTTTTTTGGAGGCTCTAAGTGTTGTTTTCAAACCAAAGAACTCTCATTTTGATTGCACAATAAGATGATTGATAAGAAAGTCAATATATAGATTTAACTTTTAAAATAAGTATTTTATAATCTGGCATACTATGCAATGAGAACCCTTAACGGACTAAAACAGGGCATTATAATTGTTAAAAAGGAGTAAAATGTTAGCCTTTTGGAGATTCCAATCCCCCCACTAAACTTATCCCAACAGTTTTATTTCAGTCAGTTATGCAAATTTTTTAGTTTATCCACAAATAACTTCATCATTTTTTACTTTAAATCCCCAAGTCATACATTTTAAACCAAAAAAGAAGCAATACTATATTCAGTAATTTAAACGTGTCCCAGTACGAAAGTGTAACTTCAATTAATTTGCTGATACTAACTTTTTAAAAACTTACAAATATTCAAAACAAAGGGGAAAAAATTTTTAGATAGCCAAGATTAAGAAAGCAATTGCCTTGAACATGGAGCCTCCACAACAAAAAAAAGGGGATGTACTTGCCTACTCATAATATATTTAGTAGCTGTATAAGGAAACACACACTCACAGTTATCCCAAATATTTTTCTATTTTTAATGGACATCCACCTGAAACCAAATCTTAATTTTAATATTGATTTAGTTTCAAATATTTTTCCAACTGTCCAGTATATTTCAATTAAATGCTATATCTGGTAATGCTTTAAAACTATAGAAAGAATAATTAAAGGTTCTACTCAGGAAAATTAGAAGTACTTTGCAGAGTGGTATCTAAATCACTTGGAAAGCTAATCTGATTTGAATGTCTCATTAATTATCAACAGGCAATTGTTCTGACTTTTGAGGAACACACATGCTGCTTCCAAGAGCCTCCTCTGCTTCTTTTCTTTCTTCATCCTCCTAATACAGTCTGTACATCTTGTCAAGAAAGAGATTTACAGTAAGCAGAGTCTGTTGCATAAAACTGTATTGATAATAATATTCCTATTTCAGAAAATACTCAATTTCTTTCACTTAGCTTGTTTAAAGCTAAGACAGGTCTGAAAAGGTGGTTGAGGTATAAGACAAAGTCATCTTGGGTGTCCATAAGTTTCCCAACTCTTTTTTGAGAAGAGGGGAGTGAAACAAGAAAGGAAGGTGATCATAAAAGAATCACTGAGAGGAAAACAAAGAATGCACACTTAAAACAAAACAAAATAACAACCGTTGGCAGGTCATGATCTTCGACTTGAAGAAAGGGCTCTCCTACATGTCTCTGAAATCAGTATAAGCAATTTTTCCTTGGAAACTAAAATCTTCTTAGTCACCTGGCTTAAAAGGTTTTAGAAGCCTTCACAAAAGCCATGAACTATATTGTTGAATAGAATCTTTACTATTCTGCTCCTACTTTCCAAGCTACTCATGTGACAAAAAAGCACCCAAATACCCTCAGCCAAAAAAAAAAAGTCACTGCCTTCAAACTAAAGATCTCTGGGTTGCCCCTAAAAAAATAACCAACTTATCATTCAAGAGACTATTTTCATTCCAGATTCCAGCCAACTGTGATTTCAGTTAATTTATAAATAACTTTAAAATCCTATGAATGAAATGCACCATATTACGCCTGTGTAAAAGCAATCATGTTTTAATTATA